ATGGTTGTACAGGTCATTGGTGTATTGATGGTTGTACAGGTCATTGGTGTATTGATGGTTGTACAGGTCATTGGTGTATTGATGGTTGTACAGGTCATTGGTGTATTGATGGTTGTACAGGTCTTTGGTGTATTGATGGTTGTACAGGTCATTGGTGTATTGATGGTTGCACAGGTCATTGGTGTGTTGATAGTTGTACAGGATATTGGTTTATTGATGGTTGTACAGATCATTGGTTTATTGATGTTTGTACAGGTCATTGGTGTATTGATGGTTGCACAGGTCATTGGTGTGTTGATGGTTGTACAGGATATTGGTTTATTGATGGTTGTGCAGATCATTGGTTTATTGATGTTTGTACNGAATAAAATAGGAGTAACGACTTTCTACTTCTTACCTTTTTTTTAAATGTAGTGAGTAGAAAGTACAGATAATTGCGTAAAAATGCAATGAGTAAAAGTAAAAAGTACGCTGAAAAATAATTACTCAAGTAAAGTGCAGATAACCAAAATTTCTACTTAAGTACAGTAACAAAGTATTTGTACTTTACATTACAACTCTGGTTGTCAGAATAATTTGATCCGGTTCCTTCTGTCAGCTTCCTGTTTGAGACATGTCACTTCCTGGCGGTGGGGGGACAACAGGAAGTGAACGAATTAACCAATTATTGAAATAAAATCAGAATTCTTTGGCGAAGAATTAAAGGTGTAAATCAGGTGAGTTCCTGAAGCTAACGGGACAATAAAACTGTTATTTCTGAGGTGTTCCTGAACGCCTCACATGGAGTCACATGACATCCAGCAGGTCTGAACCGATCCAGGGTCCATCTGATGAAGCCTCTTCCACTGTCTCACCTGTAGGATCTCTATAACAGGTGCTTGTTTTCTGCCCACCTGTCCGATAACCAACCTGGCCAATGCCATGCAGAAGGGGGACKAGATGGCCGGAGCCCTGACCAGTGACCCGTTTGGGAACGGAAAGAAATGAAACGAATCAGATTCTTCTTCAGCTCTTTGAGGAGTTTGAATCAACCTGATGATTAAAAAACATAAAGTCAGTTCTGCTGAAACAGAACCTACAGATCAACTACGTCTCCCATGATGCTTCAGTAACAAAGCTCCAGTCTTCAGACGTCAGGGTGTCAAAACAACATGAAACGTCTCCAGACCAGAACCTGGTCTTTGGACCCAGTTGGATCAAACTCAGTTCTGTTTGTCAATAAACTTATTATTAATCTTTCATGTGCTGTCAGTCTGTTCAACAAGATGGGACAAAAAGAGATTTTTTTTTATTGTTTGTCTGTAGAAAAGTTCTGGGAAACCAATCAGACAGGTTCTGGTTCRCTGGTTCAAGCTGCAGGTAAGAACAGAACCAGGATGTGATCAGACACCTAAAGAACCTGCTGCTGGTTCAAACAGGAAGTCACTGGTCAGTGGTCACTTGTTTAAATAGCAACTTCCTGTCCAAACAGGAAATCATTGGCTCAAACAGGAAGTTATTGTTCAAAACAGGAAGGCTTTGATGTAAACAAAAGGTCAAAGGTTGAAATGTCTTGAGACTAAATGAGAATCCTTTGATTAATTGTCCTCATTTTAAGTCACTAAGCCCAAATGAAATGGGTCCAAAAAGAAACCAGTGGTCCCATTCAGAAGATTTTATTTAGATTTTGATCAAACCAAGAAGTCACTGGTCCAAATGGGAAATGGTTTGTCCCAGCTTGGTAAAATGGAAGGTTTGGAAACAAACAGCTGGACAGGAACCAGCTCAAAGACACGGCACTGATCTTTACGAGTCACAGGTCACCTGTAAAGGTACTTGTTTAGACTGACTCCAGTAAGCTGTTCTTCACTGGTGATTATTGTAGCTGTGGAACAGCTTGTGCTGGTTTCCTGCTCAGCCTCTGATGGATCCWGTTACAATCAAAAAGTTTAAGGTTGACATCTTGTGAAGTCACTGAGCTCTAATCCAGTCTGAACAAGTTGGTTTCAGGGAAGTAAAACCAAAGAAAAATGTGTTTAAATGAGTTCCTAATCCCTGGTTCTGCTCTTCAGTTTCAGGAATGAGAARATCAAGATCCCACCAAACATCACAAAATTAAGGTTAGTACTTTTTAGAACCAGAGGTCCACCCGACCTGAACAGAAACAGTGCAGAACGTTTTGAGAAAAATCTCTGACTGTAGAGAAGATGAAGGAAACACTGCAGCAGACCTAAAACAAACCTTAGTTTAAAAACCAGTTTTGTTTGGTAAAGAACAGATGGTTGTACAGGTGATTGGTGTATTAATGGTTGTACAGGTCATTGGTTTATTGATGGTTGTATAGGTCATTGGTGTATTGATGGTTGTATAGGTCATTGTTGTATTGATGATTGTATAGGTCATTGGTGTATTGATGTTGTACAGGTCATTGGTGTACTGATGGTTGTATAGGTCATTGGTGTATTGATGGTTGTATAGGTCATTGTTGTATTGATGATTGTATAGGTCATTGGTGTATTGATGTTGTACAGGTCATTGGTGTACTGATGGTTGTATAGGTCATTGGTGTATTGATGGTTGTACAGGTCATTGGTGTATTGATGGCTGTACAAGTCATTGGTGTATTGATGGCTGTACAAGTCATTGGTGTATTGATGGCTGTACAAGTCATTGGTGTATTG